GAAATTATCTTTACTGTTTACGAACAAGTAATGACAACGTTCGGAAACTTTGTTTTGTTTTTCGCCTGTGATGGAGACCGTGATGCGAATAAAAATTATGTGTTGAAGATGTGTGTGCGCAAGGACTAGAAATGAAAAGTATAATGAGTAGTATAGTCTCTTGAAGACTATAACTTACTTAGATATACTCAGGTGTGACTATTGATTCTATGTTTGACTGTCATTCGAGTGACATGGATTTTGTGATTACGTCGTCACGGAGCCGGGCAAGCACACTTGAAATTCTAGTTACGCATAATCAAATTCTAAGTACGTTTCGGCTAAGACTTTAATTAATTTTGTAATATAAAAGCTAGAATACCATTCTTAATTTTTCCTGAATCCGCACTTCTTGATAATTGTGCAGGATTTAATTTTTTACCATCTCCAAATAATTCGAATTATTAAAATAAAATCGCACAGAGTCACAACCTTCCCAATCCCACCAACCGAACAAGTTTAAAGTACTAACCATTCCAGTACATCTTTATTTTTTAAACTTCAAATGTTACCATCAGTAACCTCAAGAACGTCGTTTTTCCCAGTGAGATCAGGACCTAATCCATATGAGAAGGTACGATAACAATTATTCAAAGATCGAAAAATCGTATCTGACTTGAGGAGCCTGGAAGTTCCTATAAAGACGTGATATTTCGAATTAGACAAATTCATATATCTTCGAATATGACATTTTCATACCTGAACTCCAAAACCATGTCTCCGCAGTCCAATTGAGTTTCTGTGCTTGTTTTACTAAAGGTCTATAATCTCTGTCACCCGCAATCAAAACTAAAACACCAGGATCACTGGACATAATTGTTTCTGTTGCTGGTAATACAAGTTTGATTTTCTTTTCGCGGTGGCTTCCGATGTCCCCATCAAATATATTCACCTTAAAACCTTGATCCCTGACACGAGCCCACAATGAATCGTTAGGAGATGGACAAGAACCGATCACGAGTGGTGCACTACCTAGTTTACGTCCGCATTGAACTGTGGTGAGAAGTCTACCATGGTCGATCTGGAGCTGTTTAAAGCAATAGGAATTTCTGTCCGAGTCGAAGGTACCTAACCGCTCGAGGTTTCCAACTGTGTACTTTCCCTCAATCCAGATATTCGAATTATCAATAAACAAGTGTACAAGGTTAGTAATTGGCTTATCCATTACAGATGTTTTCGAAACTTTCTCAATTAACTGTATCATTCTTTTGGCTGGAGCAATAGGTAATCCAATCCGATAGAGATCATCTTCTTTCAAGAGAAGAAAGTCTTCACCGGCGATATCATTCTTCTCAATCATTTCGATATCATTATTTGTCAGATATAAATCTCCAGACTTTAAAAAACTAAGAAGTTGCTCAGGTGAATACTTTTTAATTTCTTCGACTGAAGGAAAAGATCTCTCGGTTTTAGTATCTTGACTTAAATTTCTTGTTTGACGTTGCAGACATTTGAGGAGTTTGCGATTAGATAAATTTGTTAACCAATAACCGTTCTTTCTCGTTAAAGCTTTGTTCAGGCCGGTTCGATTACCATACACGAGAAAACGCATCTGGAACTTTAATCCGTTTTAAGATAGTGGATGAGGAAAAATAATGTCCGCGAAGTCTACACGCTTTGAAAAAATTTTCGATCACATAAACTTCTCTGTCCGGCACATAATCCGAACTCACAACGGACATTACGCGTAATTTTCCTCGTAAAATTTGCTGGATAGACGTCCGCCAAAAAATTGATACTGTTTTGCTCATAGGTCCCTTCATTTGTATTTTGCGATGCATTAAATGAAAAGGAAACACGATATGCTATTTTTTCAATAAGGTATTGATATGATTATGAGTTGCAAGTTGCATTATTATAATCTAAAGGATGCTTCAATGCTTTATTTATAATAAATCAAAAAATTGGTTATAGATTGCCAAATTTATCTGTAGACATGTATTATAAGATTATAAGAGGCAGAAAATTGACTGACAAAATCCTTAATTTTTTGTATTCTTTCAGGAATAACCATTTCTGGATTTTCATTATACCATACCTCGAGAAGAAAAATTCCGTTATCTTGACATATGCATCTTTTTTCCCGATCACGATTAACAATATCTTCGAGCTTTTAATATCCTTATACCACCCAATATTATGAAACCATGCCGACTTCCTTGCTTTCTAACGCAATTTGATATTACTGAAAGAAGGCATTAAATTCTAATACATTTAAGAAAGGAGGACGATACTCGATTATTGGTTCTTTATTAAGAATTTTTCTAGCTATCTGAATACATTTAGTCTAAAATTTACGATTTTTAACCATGTAAATCCCGTCAAATGTCCCTAAAATTTCTTACTAAAGACCCAAAATTTTAACCATTCAAATACTGTTGATAATATTGTACTGCTACCAACACTACCAAACGCTACCGTAACTCTTTAATCTATAACTTTTCACTCACACCATGCCCCAGTCTAACCTATTCACTAAGAAGACATTCAGAGTTCCGGAACCACTATTATTATGTCCTGTAAGTCAATACGATGATGTATGCTTTGCATTAAGCTTAGAATAATATTTGCTCAGATCACGTATGGAAAGCAGTCGTGTAAGCTGAAAATCCCAAGTATGATTAAAATTGTATGATTAATAAGAATGACTTATGTTATTATCTTACAAATAAATATATATCAATGTTCTGACCCAAATCGAAATCTGACCCAATTCGGAATAGGGTCAACCCAAATCGCAATTTGATTTGGGTCGGCC